CGTCCACCACTATGACGGGGTGGTCGACGCGGGGCGCCCGCCGGAGGGTGATGGGAGAGGCGGCGGGGTTGGTGAGCCACGCGCCCCCAGGCTGCTGCACCGTCACCAGCAGGAGCGAGAAGGTGGTGAAGGCCGAGAGAGAGCAGCCCGCGCCGGAGTGACTCGGGGCATCCTGCCGCCTACCCGCCCATCACCTGCGCCGCTGCAAGGGGGAGAGGGGCGTTAGCGGCGTTATGCAAACATCATGGCAGAAGGCGGTCAAACCAAAGGGATTTGCCGCGTCATCAACTGCACACACACTTTTATATGTGTATATCTATCTATCTACCATAATATATATATATATATATATATATATATATATATAATATATAATATATATATATATATGTGTATAGTATCTAGAGAGAAGAGAGAAGAGAAAGAGAAAAAAGAAAGGAAAAGAAAGACCGAGAGAGAGAGAGAGAGAGAGAGAGAGAGAGAGAGAGAGAGAGAGAGAGAGAGAGAGAGAGAGAGAGAAAGAGAAAGAGAAGAGAGAGAGAGAGAGAGAGAGAGACACCGAAGAGAGAGCACCAACATTCTCCTCGAATCTCCAGAAGACAAAAATTCGTTCCGTAAAGAAGCGCGAGTGAAGGAGCGATCAGAGGACAATGATGCAAAGCAACGGGGGCATTATGGGCGAAAGTTTCCCTGAGCGGCGTCGGCGTTTCCACCTTGTCGCTTAGCACTTTCTTCCATCCCCGAGAGCTGATGTGAATGTCCGGCCGCGACAAGAAATTGATTCTTTCTGGAGGTGACGGAATGTGCGCTAAAAGGGCGAGGGGTGTGACGGAGGGACGGACAGGGGGGGGTCCAAGAGTGACGGGGGGGGGGTCCTAGGGTGACGCGGAGGGGACGGACAGGGAAGGGGGGTGTCCAGAGTGACGGGGAGGGGTGCCCTAGAGTGAGGGGGGGGTCCTAGGGTGACGGGGAGTGGCGAAGAGGGGGGGGAGGGGTGACGGGGGGGGGGGGTCTAGGTGACGTGCGGGGGGGGGGGGGGGGGAATGTCGTTAAGAGAGACGCAAAGGGTGGGGGAGGGTGTTCGAGGGTGACGGACGGTTAGGAAAGAAAGGGTGTTGGTGTGACGGAGGATTCGGCCATTTTTTCAAGGAGAAATAAAGGTGACGGGGGGGGGGGGTTACCGGAGACAGAAAGGGTGTTGGTGTGCCGAGAAAAGGTTGAAGGGTGACGGTGTGACGCAGAGGGTGACGAAGAAGGATGTTCTCAAGTGACTCGAGTTAAGGGAGACAGAAAGGGTGTTCATGTGACGGAGAGTTCAGGCTGGGCTTTTAAGGGAGGGTTCGGCCAGGGTTTTTAAGGGAGAAGAAAAGGGTGAAGGGTGACGGAGAGGGGATGTTCTAGGGTGACGGAGAGGTAGGGAAGGGGGTTTTAAGGTAGGACGAAAAGGTGACGGGAGAAAAGTGTCCTAAAGTGACAGAAAAGGATTCTTAAAGAAGGGAAAGGCTGCAAGTGTGAAAGAAAGCCTGAGTTTTAGGGATAAAAGATACAGGGTGAGGCAAAACAATGTGGCAAACGTACATCAAACACAGGGTGACAAAGAACGCGACTTCAGAGTGACGGCAAGTGTTGCAGGATGACACAAAGGCCAAACAAAGGAATAACAAAGGGTGAAAGGGTGACAAAATAGACTTCTCTGGGGAAAGGATGTCGTATTAAGCCAAAGAAAAAATTGTAGAATAACGGAAATATTATTCTACACCAACAGATAAGGATATTCTTAAGGGTAGGGCAGGAAAGGATTTTTTTTAGGATGTAGAGTGTAGAGCGGAATTATAAAACACTTGATGAGTAATATTTAGAGCGTCGTGGCGTAGGATTTGAGGATGGAAAATTATGAAAACATTTCATAACATATAGTGTCTTCTTGTTATGAAAAATTTGATAAGTTATATTTAGAATATCATGACGTAGAATTAGAGAATGTAGAATTAAGAAAGAAATGATAAAGAATATAGTGTCTTAGCGTAGAATTGGAGAAATGTAGAATTATGAAACATTTGATAAGTTATATTTAGAATATCGTGACGTAGAATTAGAGAATGTAGAAAGAAAATGATAAAGAATATAGTGTCTTTGCGTAGAATTGGAGAAATGAAGAATTATGAAACATTTGATTAGTTATATTTAGAATATCATGACGTAGAATTAGAGAATGTAGAATTAAGAAAGAAATGATAAAGAATATAGTGTCTTATCGTAGAATTAAAGAAATGTAGAATTATGAAACATCTGATAAAGTAATAGACAGTGTCTTAGCGTGGAATACGAGAAATGTAAAAAAAAATATATGACTCTTGATAAGAATATAAAAAGAATCGTAGAGAAATTATGAAACATTTAATACGTAATATTAAAAATACATATACTACGAGGTGTAGAAATTGAGAATGTACAATTATGGAACAAATGATAATTGATATAAAGGGTAGAATTAGAGAAT